CAGTATCCAGTACCAAACATTAAAAAAAAAAAATTAAGTGCATTTGCTTATTAAAAAATATAAGTAACAAGGAGTGGGAGAGATGGCTCAGTGGCCAAGGGAAAGTGCTGCCCTTGCAGGGGATATGAGTTTGGTTCCCAGAACTCACTGTCACGTGCCTGACAAACTTCTGGAACTCTGTTCTAGGGGATCTGACCACTCACACGTATTCACATACCACACACACATACAAACACACACATTTTGCAGGATATCTTATCACACTGTGAACCCTGCAATTGTATTGTTTACTAGAAAAAGCTGTTTCTAGTTATGGTGTGACTCAACACTAGTACACACCTTTAATGCAAAACAGGAATATATAAAATTAACCCTCAATCAAGAGGCAGAGCAAGCAACCAGTGGACAGGAAATAAACATAGGGAAAAACCATAGAGTAAGAGGAAGTCAGGAGGACAGACAGGGAGATTCACAGGATGTAGAAGGGAGGAACATTCAGTTTGAGGGGTTTCTGAGATGGTGTGGAGAAGGTGACCCCCCTTTTGGGACATCAGCTGAGGAGGAAGGTTGGCTGGAGGCTTCCTCTGCCTCTCTGAGCTGGCAGGCTTTCACCGTACCAACTGGCTCCTGAGTCTTTACTGGTAAAATTGAAAAATTGAGATTTTTGTTTAAAAATAACACATGTGATCCCAGCACTCAGGGAGGCAGAGGCAGGCGGATCTCTGTGAGTTCAAGGCCAGCCTGGTCTACAAAGTAGGTCCAGGACAGTGAAGGCTACACAGAGAAACCCTGTCTCAAAAAACCAAAAGAAAAGCAAAGCAAAACAAAACAATTGAACACATTTGATTAAGGGAGCCAGAGGGATCAAGGATACCACAAGAAGACCTACAGAGTAAACTAACCTTGGCCCATGAGGGCTCACAGAGACTGAACCACCAGCCAAAAAAGCTTGCATGGGCCAGAGCCCCTACACATATGTAGCAGATGTGCAGCTTGGTCAACATGTGGGTCTCCTAATAACGGGAGTAGGGGGTGTCTCTGACTCTATTCCCTGCCTTTGGATTCCTTCCCCCTAGCTGGGCTGCCTTGTCTGGCCTCAGTGGGAAAAGATGCACTTAATCCTGCGATGACTTGAGGTGCCAGGATGGGTTGGTACCCCTTGGGGGCTTCCTCTTCTCTGAGAAGAAGGTGGAATGGGGGGGAGAAGGGTATGAGGGTGAGACTGGAAGGAGGGGGCTGGTATTAGGCTGTAAAGTGATTAACTAAATAAAATAAAACAATACCTGCACATATCATACATATATATATATATATATATATATACACACACACATTTTTAAAAATTAAAATATAAGTAAAAAATAGAAATATAATATATATCATATATATTATATATATAATTAATTATAATTATATAATCCTAATATATATATTAGGATATAGAACTTACAAGGCACTCTCCCACTCTCCCATGCTTCTCTCAAGATCACACATTGTTAAGGGTTTAGAACATGTAGCCAGGAAAAGCCGCTGGACCCCAGCTGGTGTGCATGACTGCCCTGGGCCTGGCCTTTCACGCTTTATGTGGTATCCTGGGGAGCTCTCTGCACAGGACCATCGTATGTACCTAGCATTTAGAGACAGCATCATTCATTTACCTATCCGTGTTTGTTTGTCGAGGGAGGGTCTCACGATGTGGCTGACCTGGAACGGGCTGTGTGGGTCAGGCTCTCCCTGAACTCACAGGGATCTGCCAGCCCCTGGAGTGCTGGGATTAAAGGTGTGCTTGTGGCCAGGCTGGGCAACTTCTCCCCTTCCGATGGACGCTTTGTGTTTGTTACTGAAACTCGACTCAACTAATACCTCTGCATGTGAACTCTGACAGCAGGAGCAGCCAGGTTAAAACCTTGCGTGTAAGACTTAGACATCTGCACTACCCTACAACTGAATGCCTATCTGCAGTCCGCTAACAAGGACAAAATGCCCATTTCCTCTGCCTCCCAAGTGCTGGGACTAACAGCATGCACCACCTCACGCACCCAGCCGCAGACTAATTCTTTTTTTAAACTCTTCCAGAGTTCTGAAAATGCAATCATACAATACGCCGTGATTTTCTAGCATTTCGTGTAATACGTGAAACATTTTCATAACTCTGCAGCACTACTTAAATGACCGGGTAATAGTCTGTTGTAAGATGTACCATACTTTACGTATCAGCCTCTCCTCCCCCACCTCTGAACTTTTCAGTTGGTCTGACATTCTGCTCTTAAAAAATAGGAATGTAGCAAACATTTTTTTACCGTGCGCTCCTGGAAGCACTATTACTCATTTCGTAAGGTCGGTTCTTAGAAATGGCCCTGTCCTGCTGACCCGGAGATTATGCATGGGCTGGGGAGATACAGCTCTTGCTGTGCCAGCATGAGGACCAAGGTTCAGACCCTCACGACCGTGTAGACTCTGGGCCATCATGGTGGCTGCCTGCAGTCCTAGCAGGGTGACAGAAACAGGACTTTCTGACTAGAAAACACACTAGTAATAAAGAGAATAACCCCAAATAATAGTTGTCATAATAAATGGGTAGTTTACTTTTTAGTATTTTGAGACAGGTTCTCACTATGTAGCTCCTCGTGGTCTGATCAGCCCAGGAATGTAGACCAGACTGGCCTCCAACTCACAGAGATCTGCCTGCCTGGAGGCCAGAAGGAGTCAGGTTCCCTGGAGTTGGGGTTTAAGTGGTTTGAGCCACCCAACATGGGCTCTAGGAACTGATCTCAGGCCTTCTGTTAGCAAAGTACATGCTCTTAACCAGTGAGCCATCTCCTCCTGCGCCTAACATGCATGCCTTTGTTTCTGATTTGTTTTTCAAGACAGGGTTTCTCTGGGTAGCTGGCTGTCCTGGAACTCACTCTCTAAACCAGGCTGGCATCCAACTCAGAGAACTGCCTGCCTCTGCCTCCTGAGTGCTGGAATTAGAGGTGTGTGCCACCACCACCCGGCTAACATTTTTTAGCTATAAACGAGCTGCATACTGTTTTCTGAGGAGTGGGGAGCAGGGGTGGAACTGGTGTTCATCTGCAGTGATGAAGCAGGGCTGCATTCACCTCTCGGCCATTACAGGTTGCAGTCAACAAAGCAAGCCTTCGCTGCAATTACTTTGTTTCCTTCTGTGCAAAATGGGAGTATCAAAAGTCTCGGTGTCATAGGGCTGTTTGGGGGATCAAATGAGAGAATGTAAGCGAAACACCCTGGTATAGTGAACGCTTGGGAAATCTCTGCTGCTGCTCATAGAGCTGCCATCACGGGAAAAGAAGCAACATCTATGGCTCTCTCTATAAGCCAGTAAGGAGATCGCCAAAGCCTTAGCCCATTTCTTCAAGAAAGTCATCCTCTAGGGCAGGGTTCTCAACCTTCCAAATTTACTGTGACCCTTTAATACAGTTCCTTGTGTTGTGACCTCCAACCATAAAATTATTTTCGTTACTACTTCCTAATTATAATTTTGCTGCTGTTGTACATTATAATTTAAATATCTGATGTGCAGGAAACCTGATATGCGACCCTGTGAAAGGGTCGCTGGACCCACCTCTCCAGAGGGTTCAAGACGCACAGGTTGACAGCCACGGCTCTAGGGACTTCCTGACAGTCCTATCAGTGATCAAGCCAGAGTGCTGGCCTTTAAGTGCCTCAGTATTGTGAGGCTTAAGCCCCATGGCTCCAGGCTGGGGAGGGAGGACAGGGACTCTGTGTACTTTAATCAGTATCAAAATCATCTGCAGCTCAACAACTCCAGAGAGATTAAGGAATTAAAGCAAAGTGCTCAGAAAGTCGGGGCAAAGAAGATTAGGTGTTCCAGGTAGCAGGAAGGAATCTCATCGTTTACATCTGAGCAATTAGCCACCCCACTGAGTTCACAGGAAAGTCTCCCTCTGGGCCAAGGGATCTCCCTGAAGGAACAGATTGGAAGGCAGCGGGGCGGCCATGACTCCCCCTCCCACATGTGCGCTCAGGCCAGAAGGAGCCTGGAATCATGGGAAGGCAAGGGGTCAAAAGGGGCTGTGGCAACCACTGCTTGCTGCCGTGTGCCCCATGGCGTCTCCTTAGAAAGGAATGCGGGTTTCTCTGGTCCAGCTGGCTCAGGGACGCACACTCACAGGTCAGCTCACTGCTTTAGAATGAAACATTTCTAGGGCCGGGTTGCAGCCCCATGACAGGGCACTTGTCTTGCATGCATGACATCCCTAGTTTCAACCCCCAGTTCTGCCAAACCAAACCAAACCAAACCACTGACACGAGCAGTGGCATTCATCGAGTAGAACATTTCTTAAAAACAAACAAACATTCTATTTATTTATTTCGTCGGGGAGGGGAATCACATGTGGAAGTTAGACAGCTCTGGGGAGTCAGTTCTCTAGTTCCACTGTGTGGGTCCTAGGGATTGAATTCAGGTCATCAGACTTGCCAGCAGGTGCCTTCACACACTGGGCCATCTTACTGACCCCCCTACCCCACCCACCTCAGCCCTCCAAAAAAAGCATTTCTAATGGTGACCAATGTGCTCAGTACTCAGCCAGAGGCGATGAGGCTTTTCTCATAGGTTCTGGCTCTCTGCCCCTTTTTTCTAACTGCCTCCCTATCGCCACTTTGACTATGTGTGCGGAGGGTTTTTTTTTCCTTCTGACATGACCAAACACCGTTCTGCAATGGCAGCTGTGGCTTCACACCCAGCTGGGATGGCAGCTCCCAGCCATCACTGTGGGGCCTGAGGCAGGGTTGGGGGATGCTCCCTTCAGATAACAGAGAAGTTCATCCTGCCAAGGCAGTGAGTGATCTGAAACCATGGGAACCAAATCAGACTCTGCTTAGACAGCCAGGAGGGCAGGAGGCTCCACAGCAGCTCTCCAGACCCCAGCCGGACAGTTGTTTTTCAACCCCTCTAACCAGCACTGGGTTAGCATGTGAGCAGGACGCAGCTTCTAGCCTCTGTAGCAGTGTGAGCTCACCTTGGGCGTGCAGCGCTCGGTGTAGCAGGGGCAGGAGGCCTGCCTGCCAGAAGGAGTAGCAGCCATCCACCAGCTTGTTGCAGCGGCCCTGAAATCCTCCTTCAAATCGCATCTGCCGGCTGGTCACCCATTGCTGCGAGAGACCACAGGAAAGACGGGTGTGAGCCAAAGAGACACATCCCCAAGGGCCACTTAGCGGGAGGATGTCTGGTAGCTCTGCCTTCCCTTCCTCTCCTCCCCTCCCCCCATGGCCATTTAATCTGGCCGTTTTGAAACCATCAGCACTGATTACTGCTCGGATCTTCAAAGACAACCACCATATTGTAGTTAACGGAAAAAGGAAAAGGTTTCGTTGTTGAATTCTTATACATACATATACACACAGATACACATACATATATATATTGCTCTTTCTCTCCTCCATTGCCACTTCCTGCCACCCCTCCACCCTTCCCCAGCTTGTTCTCTTCCCTTCCCCAAACAGTCATCCCTCTGAGTTCATGTTACACATATTCCATTTCCCTCTCTGGCTCCCACCATCCTGACAACTACCTTTGCTTAGGTCCAAATGGACAGTGATGCTGAGTACAGAGGACACGCTGGCACGGGAGGCCTGGAAAGGTCTCTTAAACACAGCTGGGAGCAGAAAACTCAGGGCAAGAGTTGCCTCTTCTCCTCACTTCTCAGGAGAGTTTGTTCAGAACAGAGAAGGGGAAGTGTTGGGCTGATCTCATCAGATGTCATCCAGACTGTCCTGCCTTTATCCAGTACCTGAGGACACTAACTCCAGAACATCTACAAGTCCCTACCAGGACTGAAGATAGAAGCCATCAAGCCTAATCACAAAATGTTAACTTCCTGGTCTAGTTCTCCTGGGGGACAGGCTTCTTACTCTGAAGCTGGCACTTGTCAGGCATTGGCCACGCATGATACCAGCACTCCTGGCTTATCTCTATATTTTCTAAACACACTCCATCGAGATAGCCTTGGAAGAGTGAGCAGAAGCAACTGGTCAAAGAGATACACTGCTCTCTTCCCGCTCGGCCTGAGGCCACAGAGCTGCACCACTGGACTGAAAGGGAACTGTGGGGCATTCCCAGAACCTGGAGCCTCCCCCCACCCCCCGAGACCGAGTTCCCGAATGCAGACCCGAGGGAGTCTTTAGAGGGAAGCCCAACAGCCCTCAAATATAACAGAGTTTACACTACGTCCCTGGTCGTGGCAACACCAGTCAGTCTCAGATTCTTAAAAGGACAAAAACCGGTGGGTTTAGGTAGTTACACCTCCCTAGCAGTCTTAAATGAGCCCTGTGCTTCAGGAACTGCCATTTAATGGCGGTGAGCTAAGCAGTCAAGAGGATATTGGGGAGGGGGACGCCACTCTGAGCTTTTACTCACCCCACAATGTGAGTGGATTCAAGTTGCGCTTTTGTTCCCTTGGCTACAGAAAGTCAAGGGCACTCAGACACACATGTGGGGTCTTCTGTGTGTCTCCGACTCTCTCTGTCTGCCTATCTCTCTGTCTCTTGTCTGTCTCTCTCTTTCTCTCTCTCTCTTATTTTCAAAGACAGGCCTTCTCTGTGTATCCCTGGCTGTCCTGGAACAGGCTGGCCTCAAACTCAAGAGATCTGCCTGTCTCTGCCTCCAGAGTGCTGGGGTTAAAGGTGTGTGCCACCACTGCCTGGCTCGGGTATTGGTTATTTTACTAATCTATGGAGGACCTTCTGTCTACAGGCTTTTATGTATGCTCTCTCCTTTAACCCTAAAAGAATAAGGGTTATTATTCTTTTCCAGAGGAAAAGAGACAGTGTAGCTAATGCAGATCAGACAATTTGCCCAGGTAGCAGAGGCAGGCTTCAAGCCTACAGTACTGTCATTATAACTTAGGCATGCACTAGTACATTCCTTATTTTTGTCTACAACATGGGACTTTACATTCCATCTCTTAACGGTGATCAGATTTTAAAATGTATCCATTAAGTTGGTCATTCGGTATCAACTTTCCGGAATCCTCATAGAGTATGCAGTGTGAGGGGCTTTCTCTCACAATGAGGGCAAAATGCTGCTTGTTATACCAACACAAAATATAAAAGCAGCCCCACAGAGCGCTCACAGTGGCTCAGCAGGGAGGGCCTGTCATCTGCTCTCAGAGAGAGCTGACTGTCTGCTGTAGCTGGTTTGCTTTCTTTGATGATGGGCAGGGAAGTTCATGCCCCTTCCCCCCAAAAAGACAAGGGGAACACATTCTCCCTGTGTGTTCTAGGCTTCCCGTAAGCTGACTGCTTTCTGAATGCCGGCCAAGAGCTTGGGGGTCTAGAAGAGATGCCCAGACTTCCTATTTGCGATTCCCTAGCTCTGCCCTGAAGACTTGCTGGAATGCAGATATGGAATTTTCACAGGTAATAAATGCTTGGCCCTGAGCTGCTTCAAACCTCTTCTCAGGGCTCTTTTTCTTAGGAGATTCTAAGACACGTGGTAATACTGAATCCCGAAGGATCACAGCTATTCTTGGAAGTATGGGGTAAGGTACTCTGGCTCATTGCAGGTGGTGGAGGACTCAAGATCATTCTGGATCTGTGCGGAAACTTTAAAGCAGCCAGAGGGAGAGGTGGAGAAGGGAGGAGAGACTGAGAGCAACTGTGCTGAACACCAGCAACCACACCTGAAGCTTCATCCTGGGACTAGAAGCCTGTGCGCTCAAGGCGAGAGCTCAGCCAGCCCTTCCCATCAGCAGACCTCCCCATGGCCCCAGATCAGAGTCACATCAACAAACTCAGGGAGGGGATGGCACAACAGCCACTCACTAGCAAGCTCTTCAGGTTCAAAGAGCGTTCCTTCTTGAGGATCACCAGTGCAGCCAAGCCACAGAAGGTGTAGCCGCCGTGGGCTTCCATCCCTGGCACTCCGCCAATGCCACCTTCCCAGTTCTGGCACCTAGGAGATTGAAAGAAGACCATAGCAAGTACAGGCATTGAGGACAAGTCCCTCCAGGGACTGAGGACAAGGCCGGCTCCATGTTCTGGGTGGCAGAGAATAAGTTTGCTCTGATAAAAGCGTAAGTTGTTACCACCATGGACAGAAATGTGCTGATTTATTGACTTGTCTGTGTGTATACCTGTTCGTGCATGTGTATGTGCACATGCAATGTGGAAGCCGGAGGTCAGCTTTGGGTGTTCTTCAGGAGAGCTACCGACTTTGTTTTTTGAGGCAGGGTCTCCCACTGGAACCTGGGATCAGGCTTCTGGCGGGGATGTCTTTGCCCTAACTCCACTTCCCCAGCGCTGTGATTACAAGCATGCCTGGCTTTTCACATGGGGGCTGGGTTCGGATCCTCTGGCTTGTACTGTAAACACTGGATGGGCTACACTATCTCCCCAGCCCCTAATGTATTAATGTTTGCAGATTCCTTTCCTGAGAAAACAAAACCAGAAGCTTTGGAAGCTTAGAAACCGTCCACTTATATGAGAAACGGAGCAGCACTGGCTCCGCCCCACCGGGGGAGAGCTGCAAAGTCCCACACATAGCAGAAACATCACGTTTAAAAAAAAAAAAAAAAACAGCCACTGGTTCTGCTTATCTGTGAGTACAAGGTCTATTAGTGAATGCCTTTTTATTTTCTAGTTTCCCGTTTTTAACTCTAGCTCCGGAGATCAAACTAGGGATTTCACTACATGCCAGCAGGTGCTCTACCACTGAGCCACATCTTATTTTCTGTTTCTTTCTTTCCGTTTCTGTTTGTTTGAGGTGGGACTTCACGAAGACAGGCTGGCCTTGAGTTTCCTGATCTCACCACCTTGCCCTACATCCACCCGACTCAAGTGACAGGCTACAGAGGTGTGCCACCATGCCTCAGGCGTTGGGTTTGTTTGTTTGATGTTGGCTTGTGACCTGTTTTGGTAGTGTTGGAGATTAAACCAGCGTGTTGCACATGCTAAGCAAGCATTCTACTACTGAGAAAATCTCAGCCCACTTTTTGCTTTTTGGAGTAGGTCTCACTAAGTTGCATAGGCAGGCCATGTACTCACTCTGCTGCCCAGGTAGGGCCTGACTTTGGGATTCTCCTGTTTTAGCCTTTAGAGTAGCTGCCTAGCTCAAATTTTCTATAATATACACACACACACACCTACACAAAAGAGAAAAAACTGAGCTATGTTTTCCTATGTTTCTCAGATGGGCTCAAATTATCCTCCACCTTAGCTGTACAAGTATCTGGAACTAGCTGGTGTGATGGCTGATGCCTGTGATTTTAGGACTTAGAAGGCTGAGGCAGGAGACTTGCCCGGGCTACAGAGTGAGATCCTGTCTCAAACAAACAAACAAACAAACAAACAAACACCATCAATTAAACCCCTAAGTATAAGATTATGCCCAGCTTGTAACTGCTCAGAAATAAACTTTATTTTTAAATGTCACAATTTTTTATATATTGAAAATATCTGAGGTGGGTATGGTAAGCACAAGCTTTAGTCCCGGCACAAAAAAGGGCATCAGGCATGTAAGGCAGTCAGGCAGATCTCTGAGTTGAAGGCCAGCTTGATTTACATAGCAAGTTCCAGACCATCAAGAGCCACTCTCTCTCTTTCTCTCTCTGCCTCTGTCTCTCTCTTCTTTCTTTCTTTTCTTCAAGTCAGGATTTCTCTGTGTAGCCCTGGCTGTTCTGGACTCACTTGTAGACCAGGCTGGCCTCAAACTCACAGAAATTCACCTGCCTCCCTAAGTGCTGGGATTACAGGCATGCACGACTATACCTAGCCGGAAAAAAACAAAAAAACAAAAAAACAAAAAAAACAAAAAACAAAAAAAAACTGTTTCTTTTATAAAACTTATTTTGTTTTAATTGAAAAAGTAATACTAAAAGGTTTAAACTTCTAAGAGCATCAAAGAGTAAACACTGCAAAGCAGCTTCCTACCCATTCTAGACTCCTAGTTCCTATTACCAGCAGGGACCCATCAGTTTCCGGGCCTCAGTCTGCCTCTGTGTCTCTTTCACACATATATTACACACACCCACAATACTTCATACACATACACAGTACACACACACATACATGCACGCTATACACACACACTACACACGTATACCATAGACATATGTTCCACTTTCTCTTGGTTTTTATACCCCTCTTCTGCACCTTGCTTTTTTTTTTTTTTTTTTTTTTTTTCAGATAATAAAACTCTTTGGAAATGACCACGGTGGCACGTGCCTGTGATATTTAGAGGTGGAAGAAGATCAGAGTCCACGGCCAGCCTCAACTACACAGCAAGTTCAAGGCCAGCTTGGACTGCATGAGACCCTGTCTTCAACACACCCAAACCCACATACATACAATGAAGAACATAATGGGCTGAATCCTAGGGCCCAATAAAACGTAAATGAGAGGATTTAAAGGGCATGAATGGCCAGGATGAAGAAAGCAGGGGACAGGCAACACAAACACAGGCGAGCGAGAACAAAAATCCTAAAAATTGGGGTTAACTGCACCTAAACAGCCGGTTAGAGAAACTTTCCTCAGTTCTGATGCGGCGGTGGGGAAGCTGCAGCCGCCAAGAGCAAGCCCATGTTTGGCTGCTATGGTGGTTTGAATAAAACAGCCCCTATAGGCTCATACGGTTGAATGCTTGGTCACCAGAGTGCCGCTATTTGAGAAAGATTCAGAGCTGTGGCCTTGCTGGAGTAGTGTGTCACAGAGGGTGGGCTTTGAGGGTTTGAAAGCCCATACCAGGCCAGTTCCCCCCTCCTCTTTGTCTCTCTCTTGTCTCTGTCTTTCTCTTTCATCCACAGATTCAACAAGAAGGGAGGAGGGGGCTGAACCCCAGCTTCTGAGCACAGCGGAAAGCAGGAGGGATCAGTGGGAGGGCCACCAGGCAGCACAAACACCCCAGCTTTTCCCTACTAGTTAATTCATAAGGTTGCCTGCAGGCTTCACGCCCTAAGCAGGAATCTGAAAGCTCAAGAACAAAGCCTTACAGATATTGATATACGGCACTTCCCGGGAGAACAGTGTGGTCGTAGCTCACGTTTGTGTACATGCCCTCCCATCAGCTTTTCAGTACTAGACTCAATGTGAACAGAGTTGCTGAGCACTAGGAACGTGAGCACCTCTCCGCAGGAAAGAGAGACCCAGCCTCAAAAGCAAGGTGGAGGAGAAAATGCTGGGCACAGAAGAAAACTGCTCACAGTTGCATCTTATTTTCGTGTTTTAAAGATTTCTTTCTTTTTAGTGTATCGGTGTTTTGCCTGCGTGTATGTTTATACACCATGTGCAGTGCCCACGGAGGCCAGAAAAGGGCATCAGATACCCTGGAACTGGATTTATAGAAGGTTATAAGCTGCCATGAAGGTGCTGGGAATCTACCCCAGGTCCTCTGGAAGAGCAGCCAGTGCTCATAACTGTTGAGCCATCTCTCAGCCCCTTAAAGTTGTATCTTAGATAATATCATGTGAAGAAAGTTACGAGGAAGACAGAGCAGAGCAGCAGAGAACATAAAAATAAAGTGTTCATGGGGAAAACCGAACTCTGGAAAACTAAAAATAAGATTAGGGAATAAAACAACATAAGGATGAGAAGATAGTTAGGAGCTCTCTTGGAAAATAAAAGAAAACGCGAAAAGATAGAAAACAGACCCTTGGTGGGCTTTTAAAAAATTAGGTCAATCTGCCAGATGGGGCCCCAGATACTGCCTTCAACATTAAAAGAGAAGCTTCCCTTCGATTAATGGTGGGGAATGCAAACACTCGACGTGCTGAGAGTAAGTGATGTGCAGGACATTGGTACTATAGCACTCCCTCTGCAGCACAGGGACCACCTGAGGGGCGGGGGGCTGGGAGGAACACAGGGCTGTGAGATGCTGGCTGTCAGGCAGAGCACAGCCATTGCGGCCACCATCTCACAGCACCTGTGGTTGCCTGCCATGGACCTCCACGAGACGGGGTCTGCCGATGGTTAGTTATGGCTGGGGGAGGGGCTCACAGGGCCCTTTCCCTCCCAGCTGAACTACTGGCTACTGATGGATTCTAGGGGAGGAACAGTCTTGAGTTGTGTACCCACCGAGGAGCCCACCAGGCTCCAGGGGATACCCCCAAAGTCATGGTCACACAGACAACCCCAAGTAAACTCACTGAGTCACAAAACAAAACAAAAAGACATGAATGTGGGAAAGGGAATTGGAGGGAGGGTGGGGATAGGTGGGAGGGAGAGGGGAGGGTGGGGGCTAAAGTTAGAATAGACACTAGGTATATGTGTAAAATTACCTAAGAACAAATTTGACAAAAAGCCATTAAAAGTGAGGTTAACACTGTGCTGTAAGAGGCGCAAGGCGAGTATGTCGGCACATGCCTTTAAGCCTAGCACGTGGGAAACCGAGGCAAGGTGACTGGTGGTGCCAGTCAGCCTTGGGTTCACAGGGAGACCTTATTTCAAAAATAAAAACAAAGCAGAAGTTGCCAAAGAAATGCTGCAGTGCACTCTCTTGGTCCTGAAATGTGTGTGCTGCTAAACGGTAGCCCTGCCGTGGGCCCGGCACACACTGAAACTGACCCATACCAAGCCTCGTCACCATGGCGTCTGCAAACAGCACCGACAAAGGTTCTCAAGGTCTCAAGGCAGGCGCATGGGGTGTCGATGAAGGAAAAAGAAAAAAGCGAAACAAAACTCCCCATGGGATCGGGCTTCTTGATGGCCTAGCCTGGTGGCAGGAACGGTTACCATCACGCACAAACTCACTTGAGTCCTGCGTGTTCCAGATTTGTATACAATTTAACATCCCATCATCTGACGCGAAGAAATGAAATAACGTGTCCAAGGCACGAAGCTAGTGGCAAATAGTAAAACTGGGTTCAGGCAGATCCCCATGTTCAGTGAGCGTCCTGCTAGTGAGCCCTCCTGACGGCACTGGACGCTCACACATGACGCAAAACGTCTGCGAGGCCCAGCCAGCCAAGAAAGGGGCAGGGCAGCTAAAACGCTCATAGAAAGCCACCGTCTTTAGCAGGAAGAAACGGGCTACTAGAAAGTGAGGACAAGCCGGGAGAGTCAGACATGGAAAAACCCAAATTCAGCTCAAGTTTCTACCTTGAAAGCACATATACTGGGCAAACCAAGCAGCTGGGAATCAAAACCCATCTGAGACTTGAGCCGCCACCCACTGCAGGGCACAGCACTGTTTGGAGTTTACAGTATGAGCCTGGCTCCAAGGCTTGTCTGCTAAACACAAAAACATCCTTTGAAGCAATCTGACAGAATCCATTCTCTACAATACTCCAACCACCATGTCCAAAGCTATTCAACAACACACGAACACCCAGGACAATGAGACATGTCAACTTGTAAGATACCCATATGCTGAAGAGACCTAGACATGGGCTTTTAGATTTTTATTTCGTTATTACTTTATGTGGATAAGTGTTTTGCCTACACGCAAGCCTGTGCATCAAATACATACCTCATGCCTGTGGAGGCCATTAGAGGGCATTGGATCCCCTGGAGATCAAGTTACAAACAGCTGTGAGCTGTCATGGGGGTGCTGGGAATTGAATTTGGGTTCTCTGGAAGAATAGGCAGTGTCCTTAACAACCGAGCCACCACCGACACACACACATGCAAACACACACACACACACACACACATACACATACACACCATCCTATTGAGACAGGTCTCACTATGTTGCCGAGACTGGTTGGTTTTGAATTCCTGGACTCAATGGCTCTTTCTGCCTTACCCTCCCACAGTAGGGACTAGCACAGGCTACTGCACTAGTTTGCACAGGGAGTGAAGAAAAGCACACTGGGAGGGAATAAAAAGAAGGAGCATCTCAATTGAGAAAGAGAGCACTAAAAAGAGCCAAATCCAGGAAATGCCCAGTTTCGGTCTCAGAGAACTACCCTCATTCTACTGTGCCCTCAATTACTGTTAGATACTGTGAAAATCAGATTCACTGACGATGACACGGGAAGTCATGAGACAATTGGAGCAGTGCCTACAAAATTCAGACAAACACAGTCTATACCACTGCCAACCTGGTAATCTCTAACCAGACAGACTACCAAGCAGGCTCGAAAATACACAGGTAGGATCTTAAACATGCATTTCCCACGTGCCCTTTTCTGAGAGCCTTTGGAATAGTATGCTCTATTAAAATGAATATTAATGAAAAAAGACAGGGGCTCCAACAAAGCAGGAGAACGAAGTGGATTTCATGCTGGAAGGAAGCTTCTAGATGCCTGCTGTGCAGCAAGCTGAGAGCAATCTGTCTAGATCCGAAACAGAAGGGTGAGGGCTCCAGGGGGGAATGACCCAGAAAATACACACACACACACACACACACACACACACACACACACACACACACA